CCCTTGGCTCTGTGTGGGGAAAGCCTCCCCTGCCACATCACCCTTCATGATCTAGAAGGGAGGGATCCCAGGGGAAAAGGAACCAGCCATTGTTGCAGGACAGGAGGAAGACAGAGTGGGGGGAAAAAACCCACCGAGGCCCAAATATAGCTTGGAAAACTAGGGTTGGTTTTCCTCCCTCTGGCACTTGCTCCAAGTCTGATTTCTCAGGCTTATTAAAGGGGCAAGCAATAGCTTTGGCATCCTCTGAGGAGCTGAAACAGGCTGCTGTGCATTATCTGCATCCATTTTGGGGCAGAGGAGGTGACTGTTTCTGGTTCTGCTGGTGATGGAAAAGCAGAGCAGGGAACCCTCACAAGCTGTAGCTTTTGGGTGGTGCTGGTGCCCAGGTACAAAGATAGCACACTCACTTCTGCCACATGCCTTTCTCTGCAGATGTGGAGAGACCCATGGTCTTGAACACTTGGTTTTTGTGGTTTCTGTGGGGCAAGTAAATTCTTGTACCTTCGCTGGGCTTCCCACATCCTCTGGGCTCCGTGTGCTGAGAGAGAGTGTTTCTTCTTTTGACTTTGTAGCCCACTAATTTTCAGGCACGAAAGGCAACTTAGAAAATACCCTGCCAGCAGTTTCCTGGGGAGTTTTTGAAGGTTAACATACACAGAAGTCTCTTTAACATGAGATCTGTAGTTTGGATTAATTATAAATATTTTCAGCTCACCAGTAGCTTCTGCTGCTACCAGGAGAGGATTCCCCCCTTGGTAACATACAGGGGGAAAGTGTTTTATTCTCCTCGTACCTATGGCCAGGTCCTCTCCTAGGCTCAGTCAGAATAGGTCTCCTGACCCTGATACAAACACAACCAGTGCCCTCTAAGTAGAGTTGCTTCAGAAAGGTGATTTTTTTCCCCCTCACTCACCCTTACTGAGTGGATGGCAAGAATGGGTTGCACAGACTTAGGATCTGGGTCATGTTGTGTCATGTTTAATTAGTTTCCAACCTATAGCACTGATCAGAGGTCAAATATTTCTCCTCCCTGTTACCAGTAGGTCCAGTCCGTGGCATGAGAAGAAATCATGCAGGGATGTGCCACAGCAGGAAGAAAATGTAGCTTGGGTGTAAGGAAAATCCTTTGGCTTTGCAGAACAGAAGTGATATCATTCCTATTTTTAGTAGCCAGGGAAAAAGGCTTCAGACCTGGAGTCTCTCAAGGCACAACCTGGTTTCATGGGCAGTTACTCTGCCCTGAAGGCAAAGCCTGTTCTTCCCTATTAAATAGAACATCAAGCTTGTCCTCAGGGTGGCAGAGCCTGTTGATGTGCAGCTGAGGTACAGACCTTGGTACAGAGCAGGGACATCTCTGTTTCATGTTTGTGCAGTGCTAGGCAGGAGGGTCAGGGAGCTGAGCCCAGCTCCTGAGGCACTAGTTGGATATTAGCCATAAACCCCAGGTCCTGCAGAGGCCACAGTTCAGCTCCTGCCTCCCATGGGCAGTGCAAGAGAGAAACCTTTTGCAGGTGAAATGTACAGGAACAAGCAGTTTCATTTTGCTGTATTAAAGATTTGATCAAATAGCCCAGAACAGCCTTTTGTCTGTTGCATCCTTTGCATGGTATGACCAGGGTGCTGCAGCCCAGAGTGAGCTGTATTTTCATGCTGATCTCACTGAGGCATGATTTCCTCTGGAAGAATGCAGTCTGTTGGGACTAGGAGGGCAGGAAAGCTCCATGGCTGTTCTTTTTTTTCTTTTTCATCCTCTCCAGGGATGAAACAAGACGTGTCTGTGTACACAGAGGCAGCACAAACCAGCCCCTGGGATCACAGCAGCACTCATCAAAACCAGCTTTGGTCCAACACCACAAGCTGGGTCCCATCTCCTGCACTCCTGGTGAGTACTGCCATGCTTACTTCCATTCTACAAAATGCAGATATCTGTGTGCTGTTCTTCTCTTACTACAAGGATCCTACTGAGAATACCATGGCCTAGACAGCAGGGTCTGTCCTTTGCTTCCTATATTGCTCTGACCACATGGCACTCTGTAACCTAATATTCCCTGGGGGAAGTAAAATGAGACTGCTTCTGGGTGGGTAGTAATGGTTTTGAGAAATGCTCTATCCTGCATCCTCCAATTCATGATTTATGGTCTTTTGCTGTAATCAGGGACAGGGCATTTCCTTTTTCTAGCTTGTCTGGAGGCAGAGGTGCTGGAGTTACAAAACATTTGGCTTTCCCTTTAGATGCTGCTGCAATAGTAATTCTTTCCCATGTTACTCCCTAGGCCTGAAAACTCATCCAGGCACTGCAGGAAAAAACCCTCCCAGAACCCACTAGAGCTGTTGCAGTGTGTGTGGAGACCATTCTTGCTGGCAAGTTTTAGGGGAAGAAAGGATGGATGCTGGATTGCAGATGGGAGGATTAAGTCCTGTCTTTGCACAAACACTGAGGTGTCCCTTGTGTCCTGATTTGCTTTTCTTTAAGCCCTGGTTACTGAAGGTCTTATAATGAAAGTTTGATGGAGTTTGATGCTGACAGCTTGGGTATAGGTTTGTTCTGTTTGACTACCACACAGATGAAAGCCCTTTAGTGGTGTGCATTTCTCAGAGGGCAGGCAAGAAAAGAATAGATGGTTGTGACATGAGGGGTAAATGAGTGATCTCCTGCTGTGCTTGTCCCTGCCTGACAGACTCCTGGGTTGGGGAGGACTGGTGTACAGGACAGTGGTTGGTGGCAGTCACATCTGGAGCCAGCCTGCAGGCTGTGATTGCCCTGGGCCTGCTCTATGTCATTCACCACGTTGCATGTGTCAAACCTGAAAAGTCCCAGGCAAAGCAAAAGATTTCTTGCCCTTTCTGCTCTTTTGTTTCCTGCATTTTGCTTGATCTGAGGAGTTGTTGGATCAGCTTCTATTTAAGTCCTGAGTTAGGTCAGTTCCTCTGTCTGTCCTGTGCTGATATGGGTTACCAAATGCTTTCCCTTTCTGCTCAGACTCTCCACAGGTCATGTTTATCCACTGAAATCTGAACTGTCTGTGCTTAGTTCTGTATCTTAATTCCTTCTCTTTGTGACCACCCTGCTTGCTGGTGTGACCATAACCAAGCTCTGTGCCTGCACAGGGCTCAGCTGAGGGCAGCAGGCAGGAACGTGCCTCTCCCCTCTCCTTCTTGTCATGTGCTCTTATATTCAAACTGCTCCAGATTTGCCAAAGGTGCAAATCTTGGATGCTTAGAGATGCAGAGAGTGCCCAGACCCACCCCCCCCAAGTGCTATTTTTTTCTTGCTCTTTAATTCTCTCAAAAACCAAGAGGCATAAGACATAACCTTATTCAGAAAGTGAGGTCTGCATTCTCCTTGGAGCCAAGAGCAGGCAGGCAACCAACTGCTCCTGAAAATCTTGCTGGCTATCTTAAGAAACACTGCTGATCCCAAGCCCCTTTTCCCCAGGGAATTACACACAGAAGATCTTGCTTCCCAAATGAATACTCAAATGTCAACCTTCCTGATTCTGTCCCCAGCACAGAGGTGTCTACACAGCAGTGGCCCTGCAGTGGCCATCTGCTCAGGCTGCCTTAACCAGCAGCAGTGATCCTGTGAGTAACAGTTGCTGTAACATCTTAGCTAAATAAATCACATTGTCCTCTAATCCCATGCTCAGGGACAGCATCTGCTCCTCCTTTGCTTATCAGATGGGACTTTGTGTGCCAGTACATTTCCCCCAGGCGACCTTCTCAGCAGCCCGGGGAGACTCTTCACTTATTCAGGTGAAATCCTGGCTTGCTGAGCCCCCTTTTTACAGAGATGGAAACTGGACTGAGCAGCTTTACCTACCCATGAAACACCCAGGTCCCACATTCATCCGCCTTCGTGATGTAATTTTCAGGCAGTAGCCCAGAACAGCCAGTTGCAAGGGAAATGCCATAAATCCAGCCCTCACTTGTACTGGTTTGTTCCACTGGGGACATGAAAATAAAATCCCCTGGGACCAGCTCCAGTTCATCATCATTCTGGGGGGTGTAAGGATAGATCACTTGCAGAGTCTGGGGGAGAAACAGAAGCACAAATGAATGAAAAGATTGTTAATGGAAGTGAAAGGACTGTTAATGGGAGGGAAGCTTTAGCAGAGCCAGGCAGGAGCTCTCCCATCTGCTCCTTTAACCTTAGCAAGGTGTGAACAGCTCCCCTTGTAATGCATCACTTTCTGCTTTATCCAGGAAAGCTTTACCTTCAGGGAATTCCTGCCACTTCCCACTCTTGGCCATAGGCAAGTTTTCAAGATATTGCTCCTTCTTCCCGCTTTTATTCTAGTTGTGTCTTTGATAACCAGGGGGAAGATGATATTTTAGGGTGAACAAAGCCATGACTGTGCTTAAATCTAAATGTCCTGTTAAAAATGGAACTGAAGTCTTATTAGCACCTGGAATTGACACAGCTCTAATGGCCAGCAACCATTTTTGGTTTACCTACTCATGCTTGATCTAATAGAGCAGCTCTCCTTGTTGCTATTCTTTTCAATCCCAGGCAGAGAGACTGTCAGGGAGCTCACTGGATTGAATTTTTGACACCAAACTCTCAAAACTGGTCATGAGAATGCCCAGGGGAAAAACAAAAAGGCAGGTGGTGAGAAATACTGGGATGTGGCCACATGGTTTTCTTTGTATTCCCTAACATGAGCAGGATGAAGTGAAAAGGGGAGGGAGAGATCAGTGAGTATAACTGTGTAATCTTCACTGGAGCATGAGGAATCCACACGTATTAAATGTCTCTCAGTAACTTTCCTTGGATGTGGCTGCCCCAATCCTCCATTTCAAAGGAGAACAAAGATGTTATTGTCCCTGGCCAAGCCCAACTTCTGCAGTGGCATCAGGCAAAGAAAAACCATAATCTGCTGAGCAGCTCTGATCTCCTTAATGGTATCAGCCCATTTGCTCACTAATCCTCCTAAACTATTTGTGGTATCTTCAAAGGAAGATGGAAACTAGTCACTGTCACCTGATACCACAAGGCCAAAACTTTCACACATGGTTGCCTGGAGTTAGATATGCAAAGATGTGAGCTGGTTTTCAGCAGCAGCTCCTTTTGCAGTCAGTGACAGTGTCGACTGCTTGATGTTTCTAAAGGACAGGATGGCTCTTGGGCCAGGACAGGAGGCTGTCACACATGGGAGCATGGCCTGGGCTGGGTCAGAGCACTGTGCATGAGAGACTTCAGCTCTCCAGAAGCTTTTATTTCTGTTTACTTTGTGCTGTATCATCTGCTGGACTAAAATCCCTTTTCCCCACTCCAGCACAGGTTTGCTGTGTGTGATGGTGGAAGATGCACTTTGGTGGAATGAATCAGCCCAGCCCTAAGGGTCTAGTTAAGGGCCTAAGCAGGCACCTCCTGGAGGTTCTTCCCTCCTCCAGAAGTTGATTCATGTCCTGAGACAGGCATGTTGGATGGGTCAGATGACTCACTCTGTGGAGGTGACTGTGCAAGGGGAGCCCCAGACTGGCTCACACTTTAGTGGTCTAACCTGGAGACATTTATAGGGAGGTGAGATGACTCTCATGAGTGGTTTCTCTGTGCCCAAGTTCTCAGTCTACAAAATGGAAATAGTATATATTTTTTTCTGTATATTGAGTTATAAAACAACATTATTAAGAAAACTATCTTAAGCCACTTAGGTACTGCAGTTACAGAATCCATATGAGTAACTGACATATATAGGCCACGAGGGTAAATGTCTCTTACATGATGAAACTAAATGCTGTGATTAATAATAATGTCAAGTCTGTACAGAAGAAGTGGATAGTGATCAGGTTAATATACTGCCTGGTTCTTGACAGATCAGACCAGCTCATGTTGAGCTAACAGGAGAGTCATTGTTAGAATTAATTAATCCAGCAGGACATTCTTCCCACAAGAAATAGCATAAAATTATCATAGAATCACAGAATGGATTTGGTTTAAGGGAGCTTCAAGATCATCTAGACACAACCCCCTGCATGGGCAGGGACACCTCCCACCAGCCCAGGCTGCTCCAAGCCCCATCCAACCTGCCCTTCAACACTGCCAGGGATGGGGCAGCCACAGCTTCCCTGGGCAACCTGGGCCAGGCTCTCACCACCCTCACACTCCACAATTTCCTCCTCATCTCTCACCTCAATCTCCCTCTCCCAGTTTTCATCCCTTCCCCCTTGTCCTCTCACTACAAGCCCTTGTCAAAAGTCCCTCCCTAGCAAGTCTAGACAGTATTGAGTAGAAAGCAAAGCCAGGTGCTATGTTTGTTAAGCTGACTGGTGGGATGAGGGAGTTCTGTGTCCTGGGTGTCCCTGTGGGACCTGAGGCAAATTCCTCTGTCTGGTCTGATCTGTGTATCAATAAACTCAGCAGGGGCCGCGGGAAGTCCTCCTCCAGCTCACAGCTTGTGAGCACTCTTGAGCTGCAAATGCAGTTAAACCAGTGAGTGTCTCTGCTAGGGGCCTCTTTTTAATTTTTTTGGCCTAAAACAGGCTCAGAAAAAGATGTACCTCGTGGTTAACGAAGCGTATGTCTCGGGAGAATATCGCGGCCAGCCAGTCGCAGCCCAGCTTCACATCGATGTTCTGAGCCAGCTTCTCCAGCGTGGGCAGGTGGCTGGTCTGGAAGTGATAGGCCAGGGTCACATGGAGCTGCTTCTTGTGGGGCTCCACGTGGACGTCTGCAATGAGAAGATGTCAGTTAACAAGTGGGAGACCAGCAGCGTTTTGGAGATGTGAGGGCGTCTATCGCCGCCGGACAGGAGCCGGGCTTGGAAAGGGAGCTGGAGAAACTGGAGGGCAGTTTCTGAGCAGGCTTTGGGGAAGTCATATGTGAGTTCCCTGGGTATGTTGCACCTTGGATCTTTATTACTAGAGATTTGTGGTCTGATTCAGTCCTGAGCCCCACCAGGGTGGCAGACGAGGTGCCCTTGCCAAATGAAATCAATGGGTTTCTGATTTGCGGCGATAACAGTTCTTGCCATTTTGAACCCACTTGGTGTCTTCTGCCAAAAAGACACTTTTCAAGGAAAGGGGTGGCCTTTTTTTCTTTAGCTCTAAAAGTAATATTTTTTTATTTTCCCTCCTCTGTTCTCTCTCCTACAGTATCAGTTGTAAATCTGTGGAATTTACAGCTTGATGTGAGTTGATGAAATCTTTTCCCTGGACATTAGCTGGATTACTGGTTTGCTCAGTGGGGGTGTGAGGTGTTCCAGAACTGTGGAAACAGACATTGATATGATAATGATTCCAAATAATCCTGCAGAAAAAGAACCTGCATTAGGAAAAGATTCCAGGAAGCAGAAAGGTGAAAGTAAGTGAAATATTTGGACTCCTCCAGTAGATGTGCAAATCACAGGATGCGTTGTTTGCATGTAATTTACTCTTGCTTATTCAACCAGAAAGTGCAATTAAATTTGACTGATTATTCAGTCAAAATTACAGCTATTCAGAGGCTTGATTCCAAGCACTAGCCAGGGGTAGCTTTGCAAGCTCATCTATCTTTTTTTTTATTTTCTTTTTGATCAGCAAGAAAAAATATGTTCTGGGTCTCTGAAAAAGTCCCAGAGATTTGAATGTGAGAACCTGACCAAGCTGTGTGCTGCAATGCAGCAATTAGCTCTCCCTAAGAACCAGTTTGGTCTGGATTGGAGCAGTTGTAGGGGCAGAAGCTTGCTGGAAGCTATTAATGCTTCCTTCTTCTGTGTTTTTGGGGTTCTGTCTGTGCTTGGAGGGCAGGTCCATGCTGTGCAGGGAAACACTTGTGCTTCTCTGGAGTGGCTGCAGCAGTCCTTGGAGCCACTTCATGTCTCTGTGCTTGTTGCTGCCTTCCAAAGTGTGCATTTGTAAAAGTAACAACCATTTCCTCCCTCTTCTAAAGGGATGACAAGTCCTAGGTCACTGTCAGGTGGAGGCAATGCATTTCAGAGGTGTAATGAACTTGCCACCTCTGTAGCTCTTCCTCTGAACCAGGGGCAGAGACCTGTGGCTGGTCTGCATGGTGTTAGAGGGTCCCAGTCTGGCAGAGAGACACCCCAGGGACTCAGAATTTGCCATGTTTGATGCACTTCAGCTCCAGGACAAGCCTGTGGTAATGATGGACTAGACCATTTGTCTTGTGACTAGTTCAGGAGGAGTGTGACAGCCAAAGAGGGTGGGAGGATTAGCTGGGGAGCTGTTAGAGTGCTCTGGTGCTGCTCTAAGGTCCAAGTTTGGAGGTAATCAAAGAACACTTGGAGACACACAGTGGAGACCATCAGAGCACAGGGTTCTCTGCTTATTTACCCTCTCCCAGCTCCTCCCTCCAGAACCAGTAGAGGACCAGGCAACAGAACCAGTGTGTTGGTGCTGAGATTTGAAGAGGTTGCACTTGGGGTCTTTTCAAAAGTCCTCTTTACATCTCAGAGGTGCAGCAAAGAAATAAGCACAGCTTTTACATGGCTGAGGAAAGGTTTGTGGCAGTAGCTTGAGGTAGAGAGTGGAGCAGGAAATGCTCAGCCTTGTAGATAGAACGTCTATCTGAAAGGTTAAGGAACCACCAAATGTCAACTTCCCTTTCAGGAGATAACACTTGAGGCTAAGTGTGATCTTTCAACTGAAAAAGCACTGAAACCCAAAGCAGCCCATGGGGTGTTCCCCTCAGGCTCTTAGCCTTGAGGCCACTTTTAAGCAATCAAGTATGAGCTGAATGAGCTCCCTTCCTTTGCGCCATCCAAATTTTGGGTTCTGAAAATGCCCAAGCCTTGCCCAAGCCCTGAGCCCTCCACACCTGCCAGCACAGTCACCCACCTGCTTTAGAAGCAGCCTCTGCAGCAAAGTCTGCAGCAAACTTCTTGAGCACCTCAGCACTTTCTTCCTTGACAAAGAGCCCGATGAAGTTGGAGGAGGTGTAGAGCTCCAGAGGCAGAGGGGCAGGGAATTTGCACTTCCACCTCATCACGGTGGCCTGCAGAGCTTCAGTGAGAGCATCGACCTTGCTGTCCTCACACTGCCAAAGGAAACAGGACAAGCTTTTCTCAGGTGGAGAATCCTTCCCTCTGCCTGTGCTTAGTTCTCTAACACACTGGGGAGAGAGAAAAACGTGGCGGGTGGTTGGGAGTGAACAACAGAATGGCTTGGGTTGGAAAGGACCTTAAAGACCAGCTGGTTCCAGCCCCTATGGAAAGGTCTACCTTTGCTAGAATGCAGTGAGGAAAAGCACAGGGTCCTACAAGTTTTGGTATGTTTAGAAATCATCTGCCCCTCCCTTGTCCTCAAAGCAGGATGAGCTATAGCCAAGTCACCCTCCTAAATTCACCCTTCCACCCCCCACCTAATCTCATGTTAATGATGACTTGAGATGATGAGAACTTGGTCTTCAGCTGCTGCTATTCCCTGAAAACAACTTGTATAGCACCCAGTTACCTCCTGAGCAAGCCCAGGCATCAGGCAGCTCTGGGAACACCCCCAGCCCTGAGCACAAACCCTTCTGGATGGAGCTCAGACTCCAGCCTGAGCCTGGCAGGGGCTGCCCACGAACGCACACATCAAGGCAAGGGAGACAGGAGCTCTGGTTTACCATAAAGAACTGGCAGAGGGTGATATGTGGGAAAATGTTGTGAGCTTTGTTCTTCCCACAGATCTGCTTTGACTGCTGCCAGAACTCAGACAGCTTCTGAGCCAGGGGGCCGGTGGGGCGCAGGTAAAGGACGTACTCGCGGGGCAGGGTGTCATCCAGGAATGGGTCACCCACGTGGGAGAACAGCCTGAGAGGGAGGAAGAAACGTTAGCTTGACAGAAAAAGGCATCTATTTTTTTTTTTTAGCAACGTTAGCTTCTGTGTCCTCACTCCCTTTTGTTCTCCCTTTCTGGAAGAAACCAGCTGGCAGGTCAGGCAGAGAGGTGCCCTGGCTCACTCACAGCCCCATCCTCACTGCTCAGTCATACAGAAAATTGGGGTTTGCTTGCAGGCAGAGGCTCTGAAGATCTAACTCGGGTCAGTCCTCCCTTTCTGACTGGTGGTATACAAAACCCAGGGAGGAGAGAACTCGAAATTGCTCCACAGCTTTGAAAAGGCAGCTCTCAGTTTTCTGTTTAGATGCTGGGATGCAGAGAATAGTGGGTCCTTTCTCTCACCTTGTTTTGCTGTTACTCAAGACCACAAGCTCTCTCAGACAAGGCTTGTTTCTGCATTGCTTATTTACAGCACTCAAAAGCCCACAAATGTTGCTGGTGTATTTCACAGAGTGCCAGTTTAAACATATTCTAATGGCTACCAAAAAAAAAATGAAATTAGCTGATTTCTTTTACTCTTTTGAACATTTATGACTTCATACCAACCAGTCGCATGCTGCTTGGACACTTCTTCCACCTGTGGATGCCAGTGCTTTTTGTCTGGAGAGAGAGCAAAATAAAAGAGCATTTCAGTGGTGCTGGGTTATATGGCTGCAGTCACAGCTAGTGCTTGAATCTGGGTCCCTGCTGGGAAAGGGCTGTGATGGTGTTTAGGAACCTGCAGGAGAAGTTTTCCAACTTGATGGTCCCAGCCTTGGGGCTTGTTCATAGATGGCAAATCTCTCGTATATAGTTTGAGGGGCAAAGTCATGCAGGCTGTTCAAAAGAGACCTCTGGGGTTTCCCTGCTTGGCTTGAGGCTTTTCTGGATGGTGAAGCACTGGCTGGGGGCATTTAATGGCCTCTTTGGTCATTTGCTCAGCGTGAAAATCAAAACGTTTGGGTCTTGAAGTGCAGACACTGCAATAGCACTGAGGAAATGACCAGCTCAACTGCCACCAGAGGGCACAAACCAGAGATTGCTCAGGTTACAATCATCTGTCAAAATTTGCTACCTCCCTCCAGTCCTTGCTACACTGAAAAGTGCTCTTTTGCTTATTTCCCTTCAAGATGCCTATAAATCCCTTTTCACTCCCACTAGGAAGACCCAAGTCTTCCATTCATCAAGTTTTCCAGTTGCAGAACAAACCAGCACAGTGTTGCTTCACTTTTAGACGTGTAAAAGTGTTTTCCAAATGCTCAACAGTCAGCATTGAAATGCAGCTGTGGATCAGCTCAACTTTGTAACTCTAGAAACTGCCAAAATGAGGGGTTCACCCAGAACCCAACTGGCATAAACATTTAGCAAAAATTATGAATGAAGGAGGCAGAGAAGGGTAGAAGCATTAGGGATTTGGGGCAGAAGTCAGGCCCTGGGTTGGGTGTCAGGAGGCAATAGGTGATTTCAGAGCCTCCTACATAAGAAGGGCAGGATTGCTCTCAAACAAGTGCTGCAGGTGTGGTAGGAAGGAGGCCAAAGTGGAAGGGGTTGCTGGTTTGATCTAATTAACCAGCACACAATTGTGCAAAAATGGTGTGGGTGGAGGAAGGTCTGAAGACCAAAAAGCCTTTGCAGAAGGCAACAGGAAGGTCTTCAGAAGCCAGGGAAGGGATCCTACAGCTGGGCAGTGCCAGAAAAGGATTTACACCCTACAGACCCACCACACTGCATTGGTAGAGAGAGGTGTCTTTTCCAGTGGTAGAACACGGGGAATGCATTCCAGGACCAAACCAGCTCC